AGGCCGAGCTCAGGTACTCCCCTGTGGAAAAAACGGTGTTGGCCATCGTTTGGACTGTCAAAAAGTTGGGCCACTACTTTCAGGCTCACCCGGTTCAGGTCCTCACTCATCAACCCCTCGGCGCCCTCATGAGGAGCCCCACCAGCTCCTCCCGCATGGTGAAATGGGCTATCTTCTTGAGCCAGTACAACATTGACATCCGTCCAAGGCCTGCCATCAAGGGCCAAGCCCTGACAGACTTTGTGACGGAATGTACCGCAAGGGCAGCCACGGACGGGGAGCCCTCGGCTACCTCGGACGACTGGTGGACCCTCTACACTGACGGCTCCTCCGCGACCAAAGCATGCGGGGGGGGGGGGGGGGGAGTAGTCCTCATTACTCCCGAGGGCTTCAGGGCCTACTATGCAATCCGCTTCTCCTTCAAGGTCTCCAACAATGAGGCCGAATATGAGGCCCTCCTATGTGGCCTTCGGCTGGCTGCCAACATGAGGGCTCGGCAGATCCACATCAAATGCGACTCCAAGTTGGTCGTTGGCCAAATCTCCGAAGAATATGAGGCCAAGGAGGGGAGAATGAAACAGTACAAGGAAGCGACCAAGGAGTTGCTTAAGGTATTTGAGGCACACTCTCTCACTCAAATACCGAGGGCTCAAAACTTTGAGGCCGACATATTATCTAAGCTCTCGGCCGACTCCCCCGAGCACATCTCCAGAATTGCCAAAATCGAGGAACTCAGCCTCTCAAGCATCCATGCAAGCCCCGTTATGAACATACAACAACATCAGGAGGATTGGATCTCAGATATCACCACCTTCATCTCCACAGGGCAGCTACCCGAGAATGAGGCCCGTGCTAAACTGACAAAGCTGAGGGCTCCTAGCTACACCATCGAAGATGGAAGGCTCTACAAACGATCTTACAATGGCACGCTACTTCGGTGCCTTCATCCAGATGAAGCCGAGGTCGCGATGGAGGAAGTGCACAGTGGCACTTGCTCAGCTCACCAGGGACCCTTCTCCATGTCCCGAAGGCTCATTCTCCAGGGCTACTTCTGGCCAACCATGGCCAGGGACTGTGCTGACCTTGCCCGGAGGTGCACCGCATGTCAACATTTCCAGAAAGCTCCCGGCAGGCCAGCGGTCAACTATGCCCCCATCAGCACCTCTGTCCCATTTTCTCGATGGGGGATAGACCTTGTGGGCCCTCTGCCGAGGGGTACCTCCAACAGCAGATACATCATTGTGGCCGTCGACTATTTTACCAAGTGGGTGGAGGCTGAACCCCTCGCCAGCATCACAAAGGGGAAGTGCCGTCACTTCGTCCTCAAGAACATCCTCACAAGGTTTGGCGTCCCCCAGCAGATCATCTCCGACAATGGGACACAATTTGAGGCAACCCCCTTCTGTGCCCTTCTGGAGGCATGGGGAATCAAACACACCTTCTCCTCCGTTGCCTACCTTAAGGCAACGGGCAAGTAGAGAACGCCAACCGGACCTTGCTCGAGGGCCTCAAAAAGAAGCTGGAGGCCGAGGGTGGTGGCTGGGTGGAAGAACTCCACAACATCCTTTGGGCCTACCGCACCACCCCTCGGCGAGCTACAGGTGAAACACCCTTCTCCCTTTGCTACGGTTTTGAAGCCAAAGCTCCTACGGAAGTCACCCTTCCTACCCGAAGGGTGATCCAATATGACCCCGAGGTCAACGACAACAACATGGCCCTCGACCTCCACCTCATTTCAGAACGCCGGGAGCAGGCCTTCATCCGGGCAGAAAACTACCGAAGGCAAGTTAAAAGCTACATCGACGCCAAAGTTCGCACCCGAGAATTTCAAGTGGGGGATTATGTCCTCCGGAGGAGGGAAGCCAGCCAACCAACCGAGGGAGGAAAAATGGCACCAAAATTCGAAGGCCCCTACATCATAGCAGCCATCATCAAACCCGGGACCTACAAGCTCAAACGCCCCAACGGGAAAGAAGTCCCTAGGCACTGGAATGTACACCACTTAATTAAATTTTATCAATAATGTAAGAGCGGCCAAGCCCTCATAACTAGTGAATGTACTATCCTATGGCCCAAGGCCTCCAATTTCGAAGAATGAAGATACATTCAAGACATCAAGCCCTCATACTGACTACAGGCCCACCGCCTCACCACGAGAAAAACCCCCTCCGGCACCAAGTGCCGAGGGCGGACGCCATCAACACCTACAACATCAGTGAAAACACCACGTGTTTTCAGTCAAGATCCCTCGGTACCAAGTGCCGAGGGAAGGAACTCCTATCACCAACAACGAGGAACACCATGTGTTTCATTTCCCTTCGGCACCCAGTGCCGGGGGTACATCCCCACCTTCAACATCAAAAAAGAAAAGATGAGAACACCAAGTGTTCCTACAGAAGACCCTTCGGCACCCAGTGCCGAGGGTACACCTCCATCATCAAACATCGAAACGAACACCAAAATGTTTCAAAGAAGACCCCTCGGCACCCAGTGCCAGGGATATGCTCTCCTTTCAACTTCCAAACATCTGTTGGGAAACACCAAGTGTTTCATTTGAAGACCCTTCGGTACCAAGTACCGAGGGTAGACGCCTACATCAACTACGACAAAAGAGAACACCAAGTGTTCCTACAGAAGACCCCTCGGTACCAAGTACCGGGGGCTACACATCGAAACTAACACCAAGTGTTGTTTCTAAAAGCCGTACCCCACGAGGACGCATATACCGAAGGCGCCACCATCGGTGCCGGCGGCACGTAGTGCCCCCGGCCATTTGCAACTAGTGTGCAAATGAAAACCCTTCCTTGAAACGCTTTCCGCGTCACTACCCCCAGGGTATGACAGGCATGAGAAATGCCCAGGATTCGACTTTCAAAAACGGAACGCTATCCGCGTCACTACCCCCAGGGTATGACAGGCATGAGAAATGCCCAGGATTCGACTTCCAAACCGAAACGCTCCCCGCGCCACCACCCCAAGGGTGTGGCGGGCCACGGACTATGTCTAGCACCGAGGGGACGACTTTCAAAAATGAGGCGCTTTCCGCGCCATCCCCCAAGGGGAGGCAGGTTACGGACCACCATATCTTGTGCCCAGGAAACGTCCCTCGATCCCCTCGGAACTCGGAAGGTTAACCCGAGGGAGGAGAGCCATTGGTGTATTCTGATGGTCTCCTAATAGGCCCAGCCTTACCAAGAAACCAAGTTTCTTGATGCCTTCCCTTCACCACCAACCAAAAAAAAAAAGGTGAAGGGGAGTAGACTCGGCGAGAAATCAAAGAGTACACTCCAACAGATCACAACAAGCCAAGGGCTCCCCACGGGAACACCTCCGGTAACTGAAGGCTCCTATTTCCCGAAGGACACTACTCGAACAAATAGCAGCAAGGAACGACTAAGTCCACTGCCTGGTCACCTCCGGTCACACAAACACCGAAGGCTTCAACAATACAAAGGGACTGGACTATCCAAAGTACACTAAGACGGTACCTTCAAATATGTACCGAAGGCCCCTACCCCATTACAAGGGACACAACTGGCTGAGTCAAACTCTACAACCCCTCAGAGTGTATGCCGAGGGCACACACTCCTCATTGGCTTTCTTCACAACAACATGATTCAACATCAACTTACGCAAAGTAATGTAGAGTCAGAGGGCACCTATCACCCGAAGGCTACACAAGGAAACAACACTTGAAAAATTCTTGGTCCTAAAGATTGGGCCCCCGGCCCAATCAGCATTACAGCCAAGGGAATATGGTAGCCGAAGGTCATGCAATACAACAACACTTGAAAAAATATATTCTGTCCTAAATGAGCAGCCCCCAGGCATCTGGCAAAGTGATGTGGAGTCAGAGGGCACCTATCACCCGAAGGCTCCCAAGGGAAAATCTACACTTAGAATATTTTCTAAGTCCTGCATATTTCCCCCCCGGTCAACTACTCTTACATCAAGGAGGGATTCCATATCCCGAAGGCTCCCAAGGGAAAATCTACACTTAGAATATTTTCTAAGTCCTGCATATTTCCCCCCCGGTCAACTACTCTTACATCAAGGAGGGATGCCATCTCCCGAAGGCTCCCAAGGGAGATTTTACACTTAGAATATTTTCTAAGTCCTGCATATTCCCCCCCCCCCCCCCCCCCCCCCCGGTCAGCTACTAATACATCAAGGAGGGATGCCATCTCCCGAAGGCTCCCAAGGGAAAACCTACACTTAGAAATTTTTCTAAGTCCTAGGAATTGGGTTACTGCAAACACCCGAAGGCTCCCAAGGGAAACTCTACACTTAGAAGATTTTCTAAGTCCTACATATGTACCCTCATCTCAAGGGACCTAATTGCCGAAGGCTACCTATCAATCGAGGGCTACAGTACACAAGGAATCAACACTCAAGCAAATCTTCTAAGTCCTAAAGAATTGCCCCCCGGCCTATTCAATGTTTCAGTTGGGGCTCCACAGTAGCCGAAGGCTACATGACATACTACACTTGCAAAGATTTTCTGAGTCCTGAACATTGGGCCCTCGGTCCAAGATTCACACATCAGGAAGGGATCCCATTTCCCGAAGGCTCACAAAGGAAGATCTACACTTAGAAATTTTTCTAAGTCCTATGAATTGGGTTACTACAGACACCCGAAGGCTCACAAGGGAAAACCTACACTCAGAAATTTTTCTAAGTCCTAGGAATTGGGTTACTGCAAACACCCGAAGGCCCCATGCTGTGCTACACTTAGAGAAATTTTCTAAGTCCTAATTATTGCTGAGCCCTCGATTGTATGTCCAGCAGAGGATGCCCAACTACCGAAGGCTTCCAAGGGCTAGCTACAATCAGATAATATTCTAAGTCCTAAAACATACATTCAAAGGAGCAAAGACATACATCCAAAACAAAAACGAAGGCATGCATTCAAGAAGAAAGGAATTGGAGAAAGCATATCATATACACAAAGCCCGAAGGCAATCATTCAATTACAACAAAAAAATAGTCAATGTAATCATTACAGAGTATGGCCAAAGCCGAGGGGTGACAAATGTTCATTACAAGGTTTTTTCAAAAATTGACTAAGTACTAATCTTCTCGGTGGCTTCAGCCTCGTTGTCTCCGGGGGCATCTTCCACGACAGCCTTGGAGGAGACTTCTTCTCCGGCAGCATCACCCCCGATGGCTCCACCCCCATCACCCCCCATCATCACAGAATCATAGATTGTTGGCCGCTCTTCACCCAGGGGGAGGGGAACTCTGACATCTGGTTGCAACGAAGGGAGGCCATGTACCGAGGGGTCAAATTGTTCGAGGGACACACCAAAGTGCCTGGCAAGCCTCCGGTAGATCAGGTGTTGGGTAAAGAACTCACCCCCTGGTAGTAGGCGTCCCCCCTGTCAATCAGCCAGTCAACCCCCGGGCCTTCTACCCAAGCGTCCACCGAGGCTGCCACCACGGAGGCAACCCACTCCTTGTGGCCCTCGGCCCTCCAGCCCTCAGCGAGGAACTCCGCAACTGCCTCCCCTCGGGCCTCGGCCGCAGCTCTCTCCTTAGCAGTTTGGGCTTCTTCGGCAGCTTTTTTCGCCGCCTCGGCAGCAGCCCTCTCGGCCTCCGCCTTGCCCTCGGCTATGCCGTCAGCTTTGGCCTTCTCCGCCGCCGCCTTCGCCTCCCGAAGGGCCTCCTCCAGTTGTGCAGCATGCTTCACCGCCTCGGAGTTCTTGCGGATCAGCCCCTCCACCTTCTTATCTTGGGCGGCCTCGTGAAGGCGCCTTTCTTCGCGCCTCCGGGCCTGTTCCCCGAGGGCTATGCAGGCCTGCAAACAACGATCAAAGGAGTTAGATTATTCCACAAGGAAAGATAATACTAAACTGATAAGATAAGGGAAAAGGAAGCAGATACTTACAGTGAGAGAGGACCGGAGGATCCTGTTCTCGAGGGCATCATCATCGTAGGTCTCGAAGACTTCTCTGTCCATCTTCGAGGTGATGCCCCGAAGGAAGGCCCTCGGCTCGGCAGTGCCGTGCATCAGGGAAGCGCCGGGGGCAAAGGAGAGCTGACGGATCTCCCGGGGTAATTCCTCCCGGGGGGATTCACCGGATCCTTCGGAGGGACCGAGGCTAGAGGCCCATCAACAGCGGGCATGTCATCAATAATTATGAGGGGGGCCGCCCCCCCGACAGCACCCACGGCGCCTTTCTGCTTCTTGGTGGGGGGCTCCACCCCCTTGTCGCTCCTCTTCTTCTTAGCGGCCGCCTCGGCCTTCGACCCCCCGGTCCCCACAGCAGCATGGGCGTCCCCGGCGGAAGGCTCTACAACCTTCGGAAAAAAGGCGTCGGCTGGCTTCTGGCCTGAGGGCCCCTTCTCCTTCGACTGAGTCTTGCCTTTCCTCTTTGCGAACAGGGCGTTGGCATTCATTCTGCTACCTGCAAAGAAACAACAAGTTAAAAGGTTAGCACCGAGGGGTCCGAGACACGACAACAAACATGACAGAAAATCTCAAAGTACAAAAATGTAAAGCCCCCGGCCACTACCTCCTGCTCCCACGAAGGCTTTATCATAGAGGGGATACTTCTCCTCGGTCTCCCCAATGAACCGATACCTCAGGAATCCGAGGGCATACAGGTCTTTCTCGAGGATGCACTCCTTGATGGTTACGTTCTTATCCCGCCCCTCCGGAATCTCGGCAATCTTCAGGCCATCCTTCTCGAGGGCGGCGCTCTTAACCTTCACATGACGCCGAAAGCAATTCCGCAACTCCCTCGGGAAAGGGCTGTCGGCCAGTCTGATGTAGCACCATCGCTCTCTCCACCCCTTGTTGGAAGAAGGGGCCTCGGTGAACAATTTGAACTGGGCTATCTGCTGTAAGTTCGCATAGCCCTCGACATTGGTATGGCCCCCCCGGCATAGGTTAAAGCTTTGGAAGAATAGCTCCAAGCTCGGTGTAACCCCCCGGAGTTTGCACAGGTTCACGAACCCAGTTATGTACGAGTGGCTATTGGGGGTCAATTGGCAGGGAACCAGGCCGGTGTACCTCAGGTACTCCCGGAGGAACGGATGGAGAGGGATCCGGAGGCCCATCGAGACCGAGAGCACGTGCACGGCTATACATCCCTCGGGGGGCCGCGACAGCACGTCATCAGGACCCGGCTCGACTACTACGGCCGAAGGCCCTACGTGCAACTGGGTGATGTAGATATCCGCCCTGTCAGCTTGGGACTTAATCTCCAGAGCGGCGGTGTCCAGGAAGGAGTAACCCTCCGGCAGATCTACTGGCCCCCCCTGATCGACGGCCCTTACTTTCTTCTGGGGGCCAGCCTTCGTCTTCCTCTTCTTCTTCCCGGGGGCCACCCGGATGGGAACTGCATTCAGCGGCTGGGAAGTACTGGCCTCACCAGCACCCCGAGGGGGAAGGACGGCCACAGTGACCTTCGCCCTCTCCTTCTCCTCTTCCTCCTCAGCAATCTGGACGGCGAGGGCCAACTCCTCATCTTCCGCGGTCCGCTCGAATTCCTCCGCCTCGGCCTCGGCCATCAGATCCTTCTGCACCTCAGTGGCGAGGGCTGCATCACCACCTTCCGAGGGCTGAGCGTTACTGGACTCCACGTCGGAGATGCCTTCGTCCTCCATCGAGGGCGTCCTCGAGATGTCCTGAGAGTCACTCTGGGACGACATTCCAACCCTAGCTCGAGGTTTCGGGGGAACTAAGATTTCTAGGGAACTCTATCTCCTAACCCGAGGGCACAATGCACAACTAAACTAGAAGGAGAAAGGCAGGGGGCACTGACCTTGAAAGCGGAAGTTCTGACCGAAGGCCTGAGTTTCTCTCACTAGATTTTTTGGTAGAGCTTCGCTAAGGCAACTGAGTTCGCACAGCGGGAATGGCTCTGGCCTTGGGGTATTTATAGGCGCTGGAATCCGGGCTTGGGCCCGGAAACCGGGCCTCCGGACGGACCGTCATCATTGCACACCGTCGTTTCACCCAACCGGTGACGCCGCCCACGAACAGCCAGCCATCACACGCCACGTGTGCCACCCCCCCAACGGCTATATCCTGTCGTTACATATTCCAACGGCTATATTTCCAACGGCTATATTCTGGAAACCCCCGGGTTTTCTACTTCACTCCACCTCATCAATGATAGCCTCCGGGTACACTCACTCAGAAGTGCCCCCGGGTTGCGCCCCACACAGCACATAACAGACGCCATCGGGATCACTCCTTCAGAAACCCAAGGCTTCATATCAGGGCACCCCTCGGGAATTCCCCCCCAGCACTGCAAAACCGGGTAGCCCCCGGGGAGTTGCCTTCATTGACGGGTAACCCGTCGCACACAGGTAATGGGAGCCCTCAGGTATCTTCACCACCAACTAATCAATGAACAGTGGACCCCCCGGTAACAACTCCACTACTGCCCTCATCCATCAGGCCTCGATCCCCGAATTGAGGGGCTCCCCTTCGGCGCCACCAGGACATCAACAGCAAGCCTTCGGCTAATCAACACAGGAGCCCTCAGAAGAGAGAGCCTTCGGCATTCCCGTCATTCTCCATTTTCTACCAAGGTTTGACATTTTCGATTCATCATTGGGGGAATTCGGTGCACTCTTTTTCCCTCATTAGGATTTTTTCCCAAAGGGTTTTTCCTAATGAGGTTTTTAACGAGGCATCCCCCCAAAATGAAACGAAAAGCGTCAGCCTTCGGCCCACAACAGCAACATAACTACTTTACTCCTTTTCACCACTCTACAAGTGCCTCAAGGAGTGGGGAACTGGAGGACCCCCTCGGGAAAATCATTAAATTACAAAATCTGTGAAAATTCCAACAAACAACAAAGCAAGCCCTCAAGTCCCGACATGTGGGTAACTGAGGGACTGCCTTCAGCAGGGACATAAAAGCAACAACTCCTCACCAACTTCAGAGATCATGACGGGACAACATCAAAGGACAAACACAAATTACTCCTTTTTCCCTCAAGTACCTTTCGGCAAAAAGAGTGAGGGACTCCTGATGGAGTATATGGCCCGGGAACCCCCGGCCCACAGACTCCTACTACTCCAGCAAAGGCCCAACAGGCCCAAAAGGCCCAACAGGCCCAAATCACAGCGCCCAGAGTACCAAGCAGCCCGCAATACGCGCCAGGGGTGCCTTCGCCCCCCCGGCCGAAGGCTCTAAATTCTCACAGAACGGGTTTCTCAAGCAAATTAAGAAACTGGGAGAAAACGGCGAAAACAGTAGCCCTCGGCACTGTGAGCCCTCGGCACCAGGGTGCCGTCGGGTGGAAGAGCCCTCGGCTACTGCTCTATAGCCGAAGGCATCTCACTCGACAAGATATCCGCCTCACATGCGTACAGATCATCGTACCCCGCACAGACGTCCCATCCAACAGCCGCATTAAATGCGGCCACATGCGGCTGCCAGCGCCAACCAGTTGAGGTGACCCCTCGGCCAATGAGCGCTTGACACGTGTCCCTGCCCGACATTTATTGCTACTATAAATAGCACCCCATTTCCTCATTTGTAACCACGCTGAAAACGGCATTCACACTGAATACACTCTCTCTCTACTTTTACTTACTTGCTCTGACTTCTCTCTAAATTACTCCCCGTAATAACCCTTCGGATATATACCCCCGGGTAGACTATCCATCATTATGAATCTCCCATACTTCTTGTCTGGATTTCTTTGCCAAATCTGCCTCTTGTCTTCTTTAATGAATCGATTTTATTTTCAATAGCTTCTGTGATTGGAAAACCATTAAAATTGGATGAGCAGAGTTCGTCTAAGTCCAGGCCAAGTTTGGCTAGAATTTGTGTTGAGGTTGATATTTTGAAGCCTCGATTAGAACATATTAAAATTGGTAATGAAAAGTTTTTGGTTAAGCAGAAGATCGTATATGAAGAGGAAGGGAAACATGGGACAAGTTATTGTGGTTTTTGCCATCATTTAGGGCATAAGGTGGAAGAATGCTACTGGAAAAAGGAAAACAAACTTTCAGTTCCTTAAAAATTCAAAGGTGTAGGTGTCAAAGCTTTGCTCTCAGAAGGATATTCATCGAAAGGACACTATAATGAGTTACCACCAGTAACTTATGCCCATTAGAATTCGATTTGCCAGAAAATTCTGCAACAATTTGAGCTGCATGAGAAAAATATGCAAGTAAATTCTGCCCTTGAGAATCTGCTTGGCCATCAAAATAGTAATCCCGAACATTTCGAGCCGCAAGAGAGAAATCCAGTGCAATTAGATCAAACCAACGCCTTTAGAGAAGAATCATTTGCTGTTTGTGAGGTGGTGAAAGATAATAGCAACCAGATCTTGAAGGAATTTGGGGAAGCAAAAGAGATTGAAGACATCTTAGATTCATCTAACTCAAAACCAGATTATCAAGTTTTCCTTACAGATCTCAAATCGAAATTTCAACAATTCCAAATGGAACTCAACCAGAAAATGAAGTTGAAGGCCATAGAAAAGGAAAAACTTTCTGGTAAAACAAGCACAAAAACTGTGATTAGGGATCCACCGGAGGAAGAAGGCTTTACCATGGTTGTCTCTAAAAATCCAAAAGACGTAATGAGGGGGTTACCAGGATTATTGGGACACGACAGCAAACACAGTTAACCAACTCAAATGCTTCTTCGTTCTCTGTTTTGAAAACTTCTATTATGTCATTAGCTTCTTTCAATTTCTTCTCTCACTAGTGTTTGGAACTCGTGTTTTCATATCAATAAAACTTTTTCATTCTTGCCAAAAAAAGTATTATAAAGTGTTACAATAGGTCAAATGCAACATGAGCAAATGTAATGGTACAAAAAGTGTTACATTTTCTCTAATGTAACACTTTTCAGTGATATTGTGACACTTTTGAGTGATACATTAGGGGTTGAAATGTTGTAGTGCTAGCACCTAGGAAGGGACTAGTAGGACACTAGAGCGATTTTTAGAAAAATGGTGAGATCTCCACCCGAGTGGTACAATCTATGTGGTGGTCGATGGCTTGAAAAAGAGGTTGGACATACTCACAAGGCAAATTAGTGGGCGGACGTACTTACCTCATCCCCCCTGAATTTTTAGGGCCATTCGTTTATTTAGTAATGAACGTCCCTTTTAAGGAATTGCAAACCTTGAAACCTTGAGGGTTAAAGGATACAAGAAGCTACCTAACATTGTATGAAGTATCCATAATTGATTGGATGAGATATGAGGACACTATTAGATGTATAGGGTTATTGGGCACTTTGTCTCACTAAAGCATCTAAACCTTACAGATTTAGCTTGAGGTGGAAATGAGTTAATCCATGTCTTCTTAGGTAAGTAGAAGGATGAGTCATTCATGGTCCAACGCAGCTATGAAAAAAATGGATGTCTCCACATTAACTAACTTCATTAGACTGTGAGAGCTATACAAATAAACTGTTCAGAAACCTCTTATGAATTGCAAGGAACCACTCAGATGAACTTTCACGCAAGGTGAAAGATGCATGTTGAGCATAACAAAAAGTATGACGACAAAAGCAAGGATGAGAAGAAGCAAAATATCCAAAAGAGATGGAAGCAGGACAATTAGTCCCAACATCACTCCAATGAAAAGTAGTAAGGAAGGGTGGCAAAATTAAAGGTAAAGAATAAGGAAAGAAGAAGGAAAGACAAACATTTTGAGCACATCGCTTGATTTGTTTGTCAAGTGCTTATTTCACCTCACACGGCTTATAAGTTCAATCTTGGATTATAACAACAAATAGGGACCAATTACTTTCTTCAATGAATGCAGTGTCCTGCTTAGTGGAAGTTGAGATTGAGAATTAGTGTTGTCATTTCCAAAGTAAAATGGGACACATTATATAAGAACTTGTTGACTTACACCGCTAGGTTAGGAATTGATTTATCACGCCTACCTTTCCCAATTTGTTAATAATGTCAGGTTGTTGAGTAGAGGAGGATCCCAACTTGGCAAGATCTTTGACCATGTGAACACCTTTAAGGCAAATGTTCAGCTAAGAGCCCAAGAAGAGAGATGATCAACGATCTCTAAGATGTTATGTCTGACTTTGCAAGAAAATCATAAGCACCGCTAGTACTCCAACATATTTAGTCATCCACTTGAGAGAAGACGCGTCTAATACAAGGAAGTTGTGAGTAGGGTTGTTAACGAATCAGGCTTTTTCAAACTATTTGAGTTCGAGCTTGATTTCGATCCTAACAACCCATGTTTAACGAGCTTCAAAGTCAAACACGAGCTAAGTTTTAAGTTCTAATAATTAATTGAGTCGAAGTTGAGCATAGTAGTATTCAGTTCAATTTGAGCTCGAGCCTATCGAACAACCCAAATTTGTAGGTATAACTTATATATGTCAAAATTTAAACGTAATTAGTATGTTTTTATAAATTTAAATGTGATTATTAACGAACCGAGTAGTTGGCAAAAAATTCAAGCACGGGATTATTAATGAGCATCCCTTAAAATATTACATTCAAGCATATTTATCGAGCTTATCGAGCGCTCGGCTAAAAATCAAACGCCTATCGAGCCGAACTTGAGCAATATTTGTAGAGCTCATCGAGCTACGAGCTCGAATTTGAATACCACTATTACCAAGTTGAGCCAAAGTCGAGATCTGGATGTTCGACCTCGACTCATTAACAACCCTAGTTGTGAGCACAGTCCTTATATGTGGGGGAGATCATGAGAGCCCCCTCTCTCAAGAATTTGAAGAAGGAACCAATATTATTCATGGATGTCGGCCTCCCTCTAGTCCCTCCGCCACAATAAGATGCCTTTTTCATCAAAATCAATATCAATGATAGCACTATCCATTAAGTCCTTTTAGACAACAAAATTCAGTGAACATTATGTACTATGATACTCTGTAGAGGCTCATCATGGATAAGAAATAGTTCAATCCATTTAAGATCTCTCTTTTTGGATTTACCAACGACTAGATTATGTCAAAAGAAAGTATCATATTGTCCATTATGGTGGGTTTGAAACCTTGTAAGGAAGATGGAAGTTGACTTTTTTCGTATGTCTAACTAGTGCACATAAGATAAACGTGAGCTAGCCGAGTCTTGGAGATTTGAGGCACGCTACTGTGCATGAACGCTTTTCATGAAATTTAAAACCAAGAGCAAGGTCAATGTGGCAGTGGCCAAAGGATGGCCAAACGTTACTAAATCAAGGAAAGCAAGCAATTTAGTGAGAACGATCATTGGATCAATGCAATCAACAAAAAAGTTATTAAATGTGAGGAGGGGTCACTCAAAAATGAGCCCAACTTTGACGTGGACGAGGTCCGGTTCAAGCTAGGGTCCATAAAGTAATACTGAGACTGTGGTAGAATTTCATTTAACTTTTCATCCTTTTTGGTACTCTTTCCCTAGGGAAAAAGGACAATTTTAGACTAGGCAAGGACTATCAACATACACTTATTGTTTGTCTAACTAGTCATTATACCAATACAACTAAGTAAGAGACGTCCCTCAACCAATATGGAGGAGTTGTCCAAAATGAAATCAAATTCTCCTCTACATCAAGCACACTAGAGATATCCAGTAATTGTTAGAATTAGTAAATGATATGCACTAAATGTTAGTGCATAAGTGTACGTTTTTATATTTGTTTGTGATGTTTATTTACTATTATTGTGAAAGTTTGTAGTCGTTGGTTTGACTTTGATTGTAATTGTATTTTTGGCATTTATTGGTAAGTTATAAGAAGTATTTAGTTGTACTTGAGATTAGGAGAAGCTTGGAAAGCAAAAAGGATGAAGAAACCCGTTTTTTGTGCAAAACTCGACCGAGAATTTCTGCAAAAATGATTTTCGTGCTTTCTATTTTCCTATTGAGTGTTCTGTCATAGCTTTCCCGGAAAGCCTACGAGTGTCCATTTTTGGATCAACACTTTGAAAAACTTGCTTTCCAATTTTGTGTTTCTCTATTTACACTTGCTCTCATTGTAGCAACTAAACTAGTATCTATAAAACCTAATAAATTAGTTTTTAGCGTAGTTGAAATTTCATTTCAAGTATGTTTTGTAGAAATGATTCAACTATTAAGGTGATGAAGCAAGTTTGGATGATTTTGAGGAGCAACATAACGATTAAGATTGAATTGGCTACTTAGAATGTTCAAATTTTGCCAAACTGATAGGCATTTGATCCATGTATGAAGGAATAAACCATGAGCTTTTAAAGCTGAAAATTTAGAAACTACTACAATGAAAATAGAGTAGTAAGGGTCTTACATGTTCAGAGAATTCACGCTCATAGTTGCACCAACACAATTACATGCATAACATTCTAGCATAACCTTCTTTCTTGATTTATATAAAGTTTAAACGGGTTTGAGAGTGTTAGATTTTGAGTAGTCCGTTCTTGCAACTGACTCCTTTGAATGGCTTGTTTCAGTGTTTCACTAATTAGTGAAATAAGGTTTAAGTCCTCTCAAGGATGACAAGTTTTTTAGTCCCTCTATAGTTATGGAATATTTCATGTGAATATTAATTTAATTCTTTTACATTTCATATTTTCACGCAAACAATTTTCAAATAAAATAATATTCAAAGAAAAGGGATAAATAAGTTCTCAAACTACTAGCAACAATTGGTCCTTTTCTATCAAATTTAGCTTAGAAATATGTTCTTGTCTTCCATAATCTCAAGAAGTAAAACAACTTTATCTCTCAGAGTTGAAGGAAGGATAATACGCTCTTTGGAAGCTCTTCTTAATACACCTCAGAAGGATGAAATATAATTACTTATATCTCTCAGAGTTTCCCAAGGTGCAATTAGCTTCTTGATAGTCCGTGAGTTAGACAAAGACCGATGTGTCATGAATAAAGTGAGTAAGACCCTTTAAGGGGCCAATTTGCATTACACACCCCTTGAAGATACCCCTTTCTAATTCTCAATTATGTCATTGTGAAATGATATATGTTATTCAACTAGTACAAAATATAGTCCCAACTAAGAATTTATATCAAGTCTTTGGGGCAAACACACTTTGAACGGAATGGGCACATGCCTCCAATGAAATATGAAGCTTTAGTTTAAAAAATTATATTTTAGTAAAAATTTGTGGTGTGCCTCCGGTGAGTAAAAAAGAATATAATCCCACCCCCAACAATAACAATTAACCAAAATCTTCTATGTAATTTGAAAGCCTAAAAACACGAGAAGGAAGAAATGATCTATGCAACAAAACCGATCGATAACCACTTCAATTCATTAATCGCTATGGACAAATGGAAAACGCCACAACAAAGCTTTAATATTACCCAAAAATTTCTTTTTAGAGTTTTTGTTTGGTTAATGGTTTGTGTATAATCTAATAAGTTTTGTTCTCCACTCTTATAATCATGAATGAAACATAATTAAAAGGGCATATATTAAAACTAATTGAATTTCAATATTTAAATTCGGTTGTTCTTGAAAATGTTTATGGGTGTCTTGGGTTTTGAAGCATCAACTCATAATTATAGATTTACTTTCATTGTTGGCTTTTTCAATGTACAATTTAAGCAACAGATGCACTATTTTGTTTCTTAGTTAACTTTATTGAATTACTTTTGTTTTCATTAATTTTATTGTAATATAGAACCTATAGTACTGAGATGTAAAAAAACCTATAGTACTGTTTGCAATTAGTGAAAAATATGATAAATTACAAGTATTAATCTTTCACATGAAAAAATGCCCAGCGAGATAGAATAATGGAAAGAATTTTGAAAGCCTTGTTGACTTAATGTATCTTTAGTTACTATAGTTCACACATTTATCTTGTTCTTTAAATTTTATTTGA